TCTTTTCATATAATCCATGCAAAATGGCTCTGGGTCAAGAAAGCCAGGAGTCCAACAGATGAGAGCGAGTCTATACACATTGGTATTCAGGAGACAGGGAGCAGCCAGGCTCACACCAACCATCAAAACAGCAACAGCCTCGTCTCCACACTGGCATGCTTTCTGCTTCTAGAAATTCTGTCTCAGCCCAGGAAAGGGCCCTACCTAGAAAACTAACCAAATCAGGTGATACAACCTACTCAGTTTACACATGACGAAGCAGGGTTGGGGAGAAGAAGGGATTTGTCCAAAATCAGACAGTGGTCAAGGACGAACTGGATGTTGCTTCTGCACTCTGCCCCCAATTTTTCCGTTGTACCTCTTATGTCACGAACTTTTAGGGACTCATCATATCTGCAGAGTAAACTTCAAATTCCTGTTTCTAGCACTTGTCCCAACTTCGAAGGAAGCAGGGGATGATGTGTGTGTGTGTGGGGGGGGAAGCGAGAGTACTAGTCATAGTCAGGAAATCAGGGTTCTAGTGCTGAGCCCTCTCTGGGCCCCGACTTCCCCAACTGTGACAGAAGAGGCTTGAACCAGATGCTCTGTAAGTTCTCTTCAAAGGTCTCCAATGTCTCTGACAGCCACCCTTTAAGCATACTGAAGAGGCTGGTCCCCAGGGCTAGGCCTGTGGTCATGATATTAGTTCCACCTAGAATGTACCTTTTGTTTCTTCTCCACATCCTTCAAGGCACACATTGATGTTCCTGGTATTCACCTACTCAGAAAATGCTCCTTGTGAAGAAGCTAAGCACTCCCACCTCAGCATTTAGAACCTGCTCTTCCCTCCAACTAGAGGACTCCTTCCAAAGAGCCACACAAACTGGTCTCAGTCTCAGTTCAATGCCTGCTCAAATGAAACTGATAAAGATGCTTTCTCTTAACCACCTTATCCCAAGCAGCACTTCCCAGTCACTCTCCACCTTGTTCTAGCTCTCCTCGTAGATCTCCTTATGATACAACTTATGTTTAGTTGATCTCACCCATTGCATTGCAAGCTCCTTTAAACAAGGACATGTCTTTTTTCTTTTTTTTTTAATTTAGAACAGCACCTGAGTAAAGCACTCAGTACACTCAGTAAATATTTGTTGAACAAAAGAAATATAATTATTTGTAAAAGATTAAGTAACAACAAGGCCAAGCTGCAGAAACTGCACTTCTAATACTACTCTAATGGCATTTCTCACATTCAGTAGCTTGTTCTGTAAGAAAGCTCCACATGGAATTCCCAAACAGGGATCAAAATATAAGTCAGAGAGGCTGCGAATGGCTCTGAGAGTTGTAGTCAGGCAAACAGTAAGATATCTCTCTGGAGTCAGACAGACTGATTCTAGTTCTGCTCTGCCACTGTGGAACCTTAATCATGTCCTTACCCTCTATAAATCAAATAACCTACCTCACAGGTAATACAATGAGGATCAGGGAAAATGATTTATGCGGAAGCATCTTGTCAGGTACAAGGCATCATACCTTATAAGTAAAGTCTTCCTAAAGGCCAGAAGTAGACTCAAATTGTTAATATTGGAACAGCTTAATTTAATGATAAACTGCCCAAGAAGTGTCCATTCTTAAAAAAAAATACACACACATGCATGTCTACTTATACACATATGTGTCTTAAAGGAAAAGCACAAGTTTAAAAGATACATACTGAAAATGAACCCGATTTACTAGAAAACTCTTATGCAAAATCCTGCCATATACCCCCTCTGTAATATGAAACCCTTTTTGCCAAGACTTCAGACAGACGGCCTACTGACTACTATGAAGCTGATCTTCCAGTGGAGGAAGTAAAACTGCAACCTCTTACAGAATACCATGAGCCTCTTTGATGTGTCAGGTCATCTGTGGCTTCCACACATTGCTTCTGTGCTGGGTAATAAAAGCAAACCACCCAACTACTTAAGTTGTATCTCTAACAACTCCCAGCATGGGTTAGCATTACTTGTTACATTTGGTGGGTATGAAAACCAAGCCCTATCTCTTCCAAAAAGCCAATCTTGATATTCAACCCACACCAATTTCTTCCTAACCTAAACATTTATTGTACTGACTGATAAGCATGCACTTTGGTGCTAGATCTTACACCATCTCTGTAGCATGCCAACATCTTCCTTGTGTGGCAAGGACTATGTCATATTTCTCATATATTCCCAACAGAACTTAACATATAGCTTTCTTAGCACAATGAAGATGCTGAGAAATACTCATCTGAATTGAACTTAAAATGAAGCAGTATCTTGTCTCCTCAACACACAAGGAATTTAGGAACATAGACAAACAGAATTCTCACTTCCTAAGTTTCAAATGTAATTTATAACCTACCAAAAACAACACTGATTATTCGTATCACTTACATTTTCATTTTATTTGTAGGCAAAGCTCCATGAGGCATTTCATCCTCAAAGAGGAGACAGAATTGACCCACTTCCATTTTACATTCCACGATGCCCCCAAAACACTTCTACAACAGAACCTGTAACAGTTCATTGCTCTGATGTTGACAGGTCTACCCCCCAAGACAACTGTATGGTCCTCAAAGGCAAGAAAACTATCTAATTCATCTTTTTTTCTTATCACCTGAGCCTAACACAATGAGACATACAGTAACACTTAACCATTTGAGAATGTCAGAAGAAGAGCATGTGAAGGAGAGAATTTTAAGAAAAAAAAGTATTTTAAGACTGCCAGCCAAGGTGTCCATCTACACCCCAGTAAATGTTTTATAAGAACAATATTAATTAATAATAAGAGTGAAGATAAACACTTATGTGAAACCAAAAACGCTGACAGGGTTTGATTTCAGGGCAATAAATTCAGCTTCCACTAGTTTATCATCCCAACTCGAAAGTATTTAGGTGAACTCTGTCATTCTTAAAGAAATATTTCTTCCAAAATAAACCTTTCTTGACCTTTGCTTGGCACTTTTGTTGGAAACAACAAAAAGATTACTCAAATTCTACTTCTCTGCATAAAAAAGAAAAAAAGAATAAGAGGAAAATCTAAACCTCATCCTAATATAGGTGACAAAGCAACTTTTCACTCCCAGTAAACATTCTCAATTATATCGAAGCATTTCAAGTTGAATGTTACTGAACTTTCAAATACGCATGATAATGCTATAACCTGACAGATAACTTCTAATTAAAAGATCATCACTCTGGAATGAAGAAATATCTCCTTTGGTCAATTTTTTCAAGTAGCTACTAGTCAAAAGTTTCAAATTAATGAGAACTGCATCTTTGCCAAGTCTATAAAATATCTAACCACATTAATTCTTCCAACTTTCTCATGTAAAGATTGGCCTCAAGATTTGGAACCATCCATGTTGCCATGAGGGGCCTGGTTACTTTACATTACATTCTTGCCCCAAAGCTGAAGAGTAAGAGGTGCTTCCGCCAGAGTCTCCTAGAGGGACGAAGAACACTGTGGAAAGACCATGGCTTCTGGAGTTAGGCCCGAGTTTAAACCCTGACTGTACCCACCACCGACAGTATGGCATTGGACAAGGGACTAAGTCTCTCTGAACCCTTATTTCCACATTGGTAAAACAGAGATAATTCAAATTTTCTACAACTGTTCTGGGGACTATGTTATATTACACATATAAAAAGTGACTAGCACATAATAAGGACTTGATAAATGTTAGTTTCTCTTCCTACTTTTTTCACAATCACAAAATACTTCCTCAACACTCTTTATTAGTCAGAGTAACAGCTCCATTTTCTACTTTGGAGTCACTTTCAGATCTGCTGGCAGCCAGGTCACAGTTCTTTAAAACATTTACACCTGTTCAAGATGATCTATGCCAGTTTTTTATCTTTTTAAAAGATTTTATTTACTTATTTGTCAGAAAGAGAGAGAGAGAGAAAGAGAGAGAGTGCACAAGAGGAGATGCAGAAGGAGAAGGAGAAACAGGCTCCCCACTGAGCAGGGAGCCGGATGCAGGGCTCCATCCCAGGACCCCGGGATCAGGACCTGAGCCGAAGGCAGACGCTTAACCAACTGAGCCACTCAGGCGTCCCTCTATGCCAGTTTTTTAAAAGAAAGAGTTCTTGATGAATAAAACAAAGCACCTTTATAAGCTTTATAAGGTCTTCTATCTTTGAAGAACAATTTTTTAATAGTCTAACTACTTTCAAAACCTTTTCTTTATTTTGGCTCCCACTGATACGTGGGAATTGTCACTGTCGTTAGAGTAAATAACCGACACATTTATTCTGAAGAAACTACTAGCCAGAGGACTCATTAGAAGAAATCTTGTAACAGAAACTTGGCAAAATTCTAGGTTTCCATTCAGTTTGCAAAATTTTGTGAATTCTAACAAAATGGTATCAATTTTTCTCCTATGAATATGGGTTTGTTTTAAAGAAAAATTCTTGTGTGGATTTATTTGCTACTCTATTCTGGGTTTATTTAGCTATCATTTTAGAAAATGAGTAAACTACTATATTAGCTGCCATTTACACAGTTAAGTTACCACATGGTGCTAAATATCTCCTGAGGAAAAAACCCAGCTTGGGATTTAAGCCAGCATGACAACTGTACAATAAAACAGAGAACTTCTAGAAAGCCAAGCATTTTGTTTAGGTTTGAAAAACTCTACTAATTCAGAATTTTTTGTTTCTCTAGGATAGTCTGCCACTATTCTTATTTTGTAGTTTAGTAGAAATGTAAAACTTCCCTTCCTCTAGCCTTTTGACACTTAAGAGAAGGACACTAGTTGGCATGTACTATTTTATGTTAATAGCCAAAGCTATTTTGAGCCATTTTAGTACTATCCAATACTTGTGCCAAGAAAAAAGGTTAGCATGACATTAGCAAGCTAAAAAAACAAGCTCTCAGTTTTTGGTCACTCAATAAGCACATTACTTTTTAACAACCCCACAGTCTATCTAGTGGATATAAGTAATAATACAGCTCAAAAAATAAGCCATTAAATCATAATTAGAAAGTCTTACCTTTTGCGCATCTCCTGTAAAATATGCAATGGCCAGGGTGGGGAGAATCATGAACAGTGCATTGTAATAGAGCAGACCATATTTTCCCAGCTCCTAGAACAGTAAATAATTAGGTGTTTCATTTGGTTCTAGCAGACAGATATACACAACCCTCTACAGAATACCACTCCCACTACACACACACACACACACTGCTCCCCCACAATACAGACAGCAAATCAGCCAAGTCATAGGTTTTGCAAACATTAAGAAATAACGTAAGCTTTCAAAAGGAAGAAAAAAAAGCAAACATACAAGACTTTATATTTGTTTGAGATAAATTCATTGAGTGCTTAAAATCAGAGAAATAAAAATAAGATCAACTGGCTACCTCAAGACAGCAAGCAGGGAAGACATTATTTTGAATATATACATGCCTTTCTATATAAACACAATCCTGAAGCCCTTTCCGTTCCAGAACTGAATCAAAAGTCATCAACTCCATCTTGAACTTTTCAGAACCATAACAAAGTGCCATTTAAGAGACAGATGGGTAGGTACCAACACACACACACTCATACCTAGACCAACACAAACAGACAAAACTTGCCAGTGAAGTATTTCTGAAAATGTACATGTGAAGTACAATGAAGATTATCTACAATTCCCAAAAGTATGAATCGTTGTGTCCTCAGCTATTGGGGAACAACAAAAGAACCACATACATCTTCAAACACAAGGAGCCTATGAGAAATCTGGGTTCACTTTTGATTCACACACTTCTAAGACATTCAGCCAGAAGCAGTCACTTGAAAAAGTAGGCCAGAGTTTGACGGGGGCAGGATGGGGATGAAGAAGTAGTGAGGATGGGGTAATCATATCTGCCTAACTTCTGTGATGTAAGATGACTGAATGATGTGAAAAGTCAAACTACTTTCTCAAAAGCAGATTTGAGAAACTGGGAACAAATATCCAACAACAGAAAACAAGTTGGTTAGATGAGGATATAATCATACACTGAAATATTATGCAACCACTAAAAATGTTAAATAATACTGACAAGGAAAGATGTTCATAAAACTGCACTGAATGAAAAATATAGGTTAGAAAACATCATAAGTTGCTCTTTCATTTAAATTATATACAGTTAAGCGTGCACATACACATGTGCGTGCACACACTTATCCTCCAAAACTGTACTGCTCACTTGATGGTAGAATTAAGAGAGATTCAGATTTTCTTCTTCTTGCTTTTCTACGTTTTCTACTACTTCCATTATAAATATGTATTATCTGTATGATTTCTTTAAAGTTAGAAATGTTTTAAACTCAACAGCTGCATTCAGGTCTGAAATGCAGCACTAAGTTTTTAAGCCACATGACTTAAGCGCAAAGGGCCATGATTTAAGCAGTCCTGAAATTATAGGTAATAAAATTTCTGATTTATTAACAGCATCTCAGCGTGGCCATACTGCCTCTCAGATAAACCAAATAACTGATTGCCAAGGCCACCACAAGCATCAATGAAAAGATGTGCTTCATTTCTAAAGCAGCAACGAAAAGGCCACAGAAGAACAAAACAACCTTTAACAACAGATGCCCCATCAGCCAGAGACATGATTATGATCTAGGAAGTAGAGGATGCCTACACACACACACCCCCCATCCAGGTAACACAAATACCCAAAACTTAAATGCCAAATTGTTCTTATTTTCTCATTTTAACTATTTTGAGTATCTTTTTCCCTGCCTTCTTAAACAGAGTAGTACATCAACTAAAACTGAATTTAAGGTGTCATTATAAATATGCATTACTGTATTGTGTTCTTATATGATATTGCCCTTAATGTCATTTAATTGCTCCATTTTTGAGTACTTATGACTTTTATAGTTTTCCTATTTGTATCTTTTGTTGTTAACTGACCTTTTATACCGGATCTCTGCCTCTAAATAGAATTCCATCTTCTAGTATGTTGCTCCTAATCCATTAAGTATGAAAAGCAGATCAGTATGCTTAAAAGTTCTAATGCAAGATAAGTCATTTTTAAGGGAGGAACTGAAGGACTCTCCTGGGAATAAAATACTCAGAAACACGCTTTGCTTTTTTCTAGGTTCTAGGATGTACTCTAGACTGTGCTGCCCTATACAGTAGCCACTAGCCATTTGCAGTTATTTCAATCTAATTATAATTAAACTACTAATTCAGTTCCTCGGTTGTGCCAGTCACTTATCAAGTGCTCAACAGCCACATGTGACTGGTGGCTACCGTTAATGAACAGTAGAGATACATAAGATTTCTATCAACACAGAAAATTCTATTGGGTAGTACTGTTTTAGACAGCTGAGGCTGCTGGACAAATGGAATGTTATCTCTGGTAACTATTTCCCAAAGCAGCAAATGGGCTGAGGAAAAAAAAGAGTAAAACTAATCTCTAACTGCTCCCTTTTGTCTAACTACTTCAAAAAGATAAAAAATTTTAATAGTAGTAGCTTCCATTAAAATACAAATCATCATCCAAAGTCATCAAGGCAAATAAATGGAGAACAAGATATAAAGGTATATTTAAGGAAAATTTGTTGGAAACAATCTACACTGACCCCATTTCTTCAAAGATCTTCAAAATACACCTTCTCTGAAAATAATGAGAGCTACTGGAATGGCCATTCATTCTATGGTTCTTTCTGGAGAAGGCAAAGTCCCCTGCCAAGACAATACAAACTTGACAATACTACTACTATTGAGTAGTTGAGCATTCGTATTTATGGTATCAACTAAAAAAAATGACCTAAAGTAGTTTCAGAATTATTGCACATATAGAGCAGACTAAAAACCAAGCAGGTAAGGCCATGTGATTTAGGAAACATGGGTAGGGAAATAAGATAAAGTCATGGTCAGTTATAAGATTTAATTATGAGATAAAAAATATACCACTGTTCAGGAAAAACTGTGGTGGCATCTGTGAAATCTCATATGGGTCCTTACACAGGATACTTCATGATAAAAAGGACAGCTCCTTCAATAACAATGCTAATATATACAGCTGAATTCTACATAGCTGCTTATTTTTTTAAAAAAAGATTTATTTATTTATTTGAAAGAGCACAAATGCTTGCATCTGTGAGCAGGGGGAGGGGCGGAGGGAGAGGGAGAGAACCCCAAGCAGACACCCCAAGTGCGGAGCCCACATGGGGCTCAATCTGAAGACCCTGAGATCCTGACCCAAGCTGAAACCAAGGGTCTGATGCTCAACCGACTGAACCACATAGCTGCTTACAATAAGGCAAACTTATGCCATAACGTAGTTAAAGCAATGTGGCTCAAATTCTCTGCTTTCTTATGGTCTGGCTTGATCTAAAAATAAAATTTAGTGTGTATATATTCAAAGTATATAGTAGTCTGACAAAAAATATCTGTAAAGCCTTTGTATGCATGCTGTAAGTTAAGAGAAAAGGGCTGGGTATGGAAAGTTCATGTGTATGAGATCTAGGCCAAGGAACTCAGCATTGCTCCTAAAAGAGAGCAATCCTAATGCTCGCTAAAGTTTCCCATTATTTGTGGGACAGATACACAAGGTCCATTCTTGTTCTGCAGCCCCTTCCAACACTCACTTCTCCTCAAATCTGCTCAAGGGTTTCCAGATATTTCTTCTTATCCAGGTCCCTCACCAACTCTTCTAGAACACAGCCATGAACATTTATGACACTTTTCTGTAATGAACCCACCCCTAATTACAACCCTCTCCCAAAGTCAACAGTCACCCAATCCCTTCCAGAAAAGCTAACAATAAAATCTAACTGCTAATTAATAATTGAAAAAGTTTCTTATGTGAGTAGCAAAGTACAGGCATTTTACTCTGAGATCCCTAGGTCTTTCCCAGCCCTCCTAAGTATTCTTCTTTCCTAACAAATTGACATTACTACTCCCAACATCAGTAAACATCTCTTAAAGATTTAGATTGCTACCTACTTTTGAATCTAACTTCTGTTTTACATATGCACCATTTGCTGCTGTCAGGACATCATTTATCAAAATGAAAACATATCCTTCGAGATCAAATGCCAAGTCAGAGCTGTAAAACACAAGCAACACTTTAATAGCTTAAAGAACATGCATGTAATTTTAAATACGTCTGAAGTACAATAAATGGAAGAACATATTCTTATCTAGGTAAGTGAACATTAGACATTTTATCAACTATTTGATACTTGATATAAACAATCAAGTATTTGATTCCTGGTTATAATTTGCAATTTCACACTCAATAGGGAAGCCTTCAGATATGAGAAGTACTAACGCTTAAACACAATCATTAGCAATAATTAATCATGTCAGTTAATAGCACTGCTCTGAATTCAAAGTCAGACAACAAGAACAAGTAACCAAATTCACCATTATAATACATCTGAAGCAAGAAGAAGGCATCAGAGCTCAATTTCAGAGAGAAGGAAACCAAAAAGATGAAGTTGTTAACATGTCATTTTCCAAGGATTCATTCACACTAAACGCAGGTGGTACAGGTGCTTGGGTCACTGGGTGGAATTTCTGAAGTATAATTTGTAGTTAGTTCTGAGATCAAGCTACAACAGTGTCTAAGCACACAATAGGAACTCAAATACCTAAATGACTGCTTAAAAACCCTATGAGCTATAACCAGCAGGATTAGGGAAACTGAAGTTTTCTAGTATTTAGTTGAGCACCAGGCACAAGATCAGAACTTAGTAAACTGAACAGAATAATGAAAATCTGAGAAAAGCATGCCCTCAATATACTTTAGCACCCTAGCTAAAATAGTGGCCCAACATCCTGGGATTGTGCAAAGATACTATGTACTTATAGCTAAACTAGTACATAGAATGAGACTTCTGAGGAACTCTATATGCCCCTACAATTTTAGGCAGAACTAGCCCAATGTATAACCCCTCTTCCAAGCAGCCTGACAACCTTCTAACTTCAGACTCCCTTCTTCCCAATCTCTTTCCCAAGTGACAGGTTCTGATTAGATAAGGCTGATCAGATAGCAATCCTCCTCAGAAACTTTTTGCAGGCCAGGGTTGTCCCTAAGGAACTCCTGTTGTTTGGTTCAGTTCTGGATCCCACCAGCTTTATGGAAATGCTTCAAGAGGTTAGAGGCTCATATAGAATTTTTCTTCAAGAAGGCTATATTACTTAAAGGAAAAAACAGCTATATAACCAAATTCTAGTAACCAATTTTTCTATCCTTTTTCTCATTTTTTTTTTAAAGAGTGAAATTTCACGTGGAGATTTAGGGTGGAATTTGACTTAGAATATTTCCCCCTGCCTGTACTACAGGAATGATGAAGGTAAATGAGCCAATCCAAGCAGCACACTGAACTCCCAGACAGAAAATCTATGTCAGGTAGAATCTGTGGCGTTAGCAAACCCATACATGTATGCCCTGGTCCAAGAAAAATGTAGAAGGCTTCTAGCCAACACTTTAATTTTCTGAGTCTTTGGGCATACGTTTTCTCCCTCTATTTTAAAACTGAAACTTAAAAACAATGGGAGAAGCTTCAGTAATTTAATAAAACACCTAAGTCATGGCACTTGTGATATATCTTAAGTGAGGCCAAATAAAGAAATTCTAGTATTTATTATTCTACCACAAGGCAAATAATTCATTATCATTTGCCTTTTCTGAGACACTATTTTCTTTAGCATTACGTAAAGTAAAAGAATACCACATGATTTATAAAAGCACACAGGCTCTGGAGTCAGGCACAAATTCAAATTCCAGTGCTGCCATTTATTAGCTGTGTAACCTTGACCAAGTTTCTGAACTTAGGTTTTAGTTTCCTCAACTAAAAATAGGAAAATTATACCCACATCTTTCAGAGGTGTTGTAAAGAATGCATAAATACATGTAAAATCCCAAACATATTGTGTGGCATATGGTATGTGCTCAATAAGTAGAAGAATCAGACTTTGCCAGCCTTGACCTTAATATGGCCAGAAAGATTTAACTTCCCAAAGAGTCTTTGGATGCTTTTCAAAGACATGATTCTTACTTAACCTATACAAAATTCTTTTTTATTGGTAATTGATTATTATCAATAACTATTGATAATTTCTAATGTGGTCTTAATATGTTCTTACCTGGCAGCTACAAAGGCTCCAATAATCATTGCAAATACGGTCATCTTAATACCCCAAGAAAAAGTCTTCCTACAAAATAAAATAATTAAAAAGTGCATACACGTGCCTTTAGTTATTCACAGATTCATTCAGCAACATAGGCAAAAAAAATATGTTTTCCTTAAAAAAGCCATAAACAGTATTTTTTTTTTTTTAAGATTTTGTTTATTTATTTGACAGAGAGACAGCGAGAGAGGGAACACAAGCAGGGGGAGTGGGAGAGGGAGAAGCAGGCTCCCTGCCGAGCAGGGAGCCCAATGCAGGGCTCGATCCCAGGACCCTGGGACCATGACCTGAGCCAAAGGCAGATGCTTAATGAGTGAGCCACCCAGGCGCCCCTAAACAGTCATATTTTAAATGTTTCCAAGGAATTGGGTATTTCAAAGAATCCGTTTGATGAAGCAAAAACTTATACAAAAAGAGTATATTCATTTCTTTCATATTCGTATATTTGCTATCATTATTGAGCTTGAATTTTTGCAAATCAGAATTTCTTTAAGTGGAAAAAGGTCACACACATTTGTAGTAAAAGTAGCCAAGACAGGAACAGTATTTAAAACCTATACTGATGTTTCTGACCCAGTGTCATTCAGTGGCAACAGTAGGTATAGGAATCCTTGAAAGTATATCTCATGTTCAGACAGATTCCATCTCCATTTCATAATCTCCCCAACTATGGATCCCATAAACTATCAACTCCTATAGCAAAGGAAGAAAGTGCTTAAACTTCTCAAAAGATAAAGTAGAAACAAGACAAGTAATTTTACTCTCTCACATATTCTGGGCCCCTTTTAAAGAGGACCAAAGTCTGTTAAAGACTAGATATATTAGAAATTTAGCTCACTTGAGTAAAACTCCTTCAGCAAACATTGTAAACAGGATGGAGAACCTTCTCAGAACTGTAAACATTGGCAGGCTGCAGAAAATTTAAAAAAGGGAAAAATATAATTAGGTAAAATACAGTTTAGCAATTTACTTTTTTAACTAAGACTCTCCAAATAAGTACCTTAAAATAATGCTAATCTCTTCCTTCCATTATGCTGATTAATTCCATTCCATATTGGTTAATCTGTGTTTAAATTAAACCTTTATTTCTCTCTAGAAGTAATTATTTGAGAGCCTGAAGAAATGCTTTTATAAAACTACTAGAAGTGAGAAACATCAAGCTACCTATTAAAAATGGTAGAGATCACATATCTATTATCAAAGGCTAGTTAACAGCCACTTTTTAATTTTACGCTACCTATTATACAAACACCCTGAACAGTAACCATGTTAGCTTTTAAAAGAAAAAGACCTCTTTCTTCCTTCTTTAGTAGACTGAACTTATTTTCCACTCACCCTCCACAAAACAACATCTCCAACCCTCCAAACAGCATCTATGATAATCTCACCCCATAAAATATTCCCTGATTGTCCTTTTGTGGAAGTACTTTTGCCTTCCTCTAAATTACCAGAGCACTTTGCTTGCACTAGTCAAACACACAGCCTCTTGCAATACAGTTATTTCTGAATATATCCCATATCACTCCAAAGTGCCTTATATTTAGCTGGCAACCAAAGATAGGGTGTGAATGAATGGATGGATGGATAGATGGATGACAATGGATGAAAAAGAGCAAATTCTATACAAGCAGCACTTTGCAGCAGGTCTACATTTCTTTCCAAGTGGGTAATGAGATGGAAAAGGATGCCCCACCCATGATAAATTTGACTTCCATGAACCCTGCCCCAGAGATACCATCATGGTCACTCTTTCACATTTCTTGGGTCTGAAGTAAAAGGAAATGAAAAACACTTTGTCTCTGATTCTCAGAGATCTCCCCATTTTGTTTTACAATCATCTAATATGCCAGGGGGTTAGCTTCAGTGTAAGTAGTGAAACCATGGATTTCTGTTAAATGCCTTTTCCATGTGTATGATTTTAATATCACATACAGCTAATACATAACTACACTCCTCAAGTGGAGAAGCCAAGAATTAAGAGGTTAGAGGATAATAAAACAGTATGGTTGCACAGCAGAGTACTGCTTCTTTCTAAAAGTGAATATGCTGCCTCTATGGTCATCGGTATCATATTTGTTCAGAGTTCCATCTGATGTTACTTTACCTCATGTTAAAAGAAAAACTACAAAAGTTCTCATAACCACTCTCTGATTTTGCTTACAGAATTTGCCTAAAATATAATATTTATAAATTGTGTAAAAGAATTGAAATCCCAGGACCTCTTCACTACTATAGGTCTGGAAAAATAATGAAAATCTCCTATAACAGCATTTTATAACATTTTAAGACTTCTATTATCAAAGTGAGGGGGGGAAACCCAAAACAAACAAAAACTCTTTCTTTTCAAACTTAAAAGAATTTAAACTAAAACCTCTGGTGTAATCTTATTTAGTAACAGAAGCTTTCTGGTTCTTTCATTTTTTTCCAGAATCAATAACAATGTGTTAAATATTTGACATTCAAGTACAGTTTTAAGAATACATCATATTAACCTCACTAGTAAAATAAAGTTATCCATACTTCAGTTTCTTTGTGCTGAACAGTCCCGTGATTTGGTTCCCAAAATATAGTAGAGGTAGTGGAAACGTCTAGAAAATTTAAAAAGGGATAACAAAGCTCAATAATAAAGATAGCTAAAACAAGGTCCTTTCAAACAGAAACAGTTTTGTTTACATGATCAAATTCTTTCCACTTAAAACATAAGATTAGAACTCATACACAATTTTGGCCCCCATGAAGAACCCAAAAAACATTATTCCTGGATAACAGCACTACTACGGCAAACAGAGGGAAGAATGGAGAAGAAAAAAGAAACAGAAATATGAATATGATCAAACCATATGAAAGAGAAACATCATTTGCTTTAAAATATGATAATGTATTAGCCCATGGCTCTACTGTCAGCAGAAAAAGGAAAGGTATTTCATCTTCATGTGGAGTCAAGCAGAGGCAGACAGAATAATAAGAAAATAAACCCAAAGAATAATGAATGTAGGATACACCAGCTAGATGAGATGGATGTAGAAAATGCAAAACAGCTGTACTCCCAACAAGTGTTCATTAATTAAAAAACACAAGATTTCTGGGGGCCTTTTTCCCTTAATTTTAAAGAGTTGGTAGGACTTTTTAAAACACATATTACTACATTTATTCTTTACCTTCATTATACCTACTCTGGGCGATTTCAAGATTGCCATTTTTAAATATGCAGAGGGCTGATAAAAACATATAGTGACTTGTTTTCAGAAAATAAGATGTTTTTTGTTTTGTTTTGTTTTGTTTTACCTTTCGAGGTACATTTCTGTCAAGGTCAGGAAACTTGACTACTCTGAGCGCCTTTCCCACCCAGAGAACTGCCACTGTGGCCACCATCTGTAAACAGAGAACACAGATTCACTGTTCTACATATAAAGACACACACAGAAGTTCTAACGACATAAACCACGTAATGCTGAAGATTCCAACTAACCTGGCCAAGTCCAACACATAGTGAGGAGGGAAATCTACAAAAAAGGTAGAGAGAGAGAAAAAAATACATGGTCAGAAAAACCCAAACGCAGCTCTGTGAATTCAATTTGCACATCTGCAACCTTAAAATATATTTTGAAACAAACACCAACGTCTGCCCCTTATCCAAATGAAAATGTGAGAAAAAAATCCCTGCTGGTTGTCAGGCAACACCGCTGATTTTGTAGCCTCGGGCGGCCACTTGTCTCATCTTGTCGGAGTCCACAATTTCAGTCAGCTGCCTGCAACGGGTGAAGACGTGGGTCTCCTCAACAGTTTCACATCTTTAAAACAAACATGCTTCTGCTTCTGCCTCAGGGTCCCAGTGACAGCAGCAGAATCGTCTTAAAAGAGCTTAAGGATGCGCCCATCCCCAGAGACCGTCAGCGAACTCGGGGACCCTGAAGCCCCGGACCCCAGCCCAGGCTGCAGGGAAGGGAGCGCATCCCTCGCTTTGCTCCCAGCCTGGCATGCACAAGAGCCAAAAGCCACGGAGCAACTCCGCTCCATCGCTCTGAAGAGCAAGGTTTCCATGGCGCTGCTCGGCGGGCGCTTTCCCACAGCGGTCGAGACGTGCGCGGGGCGGTCCAGAGCTCCGCGCCCGGAGCTGGACCCGCACCCCGGGCCCGCGCGCCAAGCCGGGCCGCCGCCCGGGCCGCTCATTCACGGCCCGCCCTCCCCAGCTCCCGCCCAACTTTGTTCAGCTTTAACTTTAGCAGCATTAGTCCAAGGAGCCGGCGCCCGGTCGCCGCCGCCGCCGCGCGCTCCTCCCCACGGCCTCGGTCGCGGCCGCCGCCCCGGCCCTACCTGTAATTGGTGAGCACGCTCTTGTTGACCACCACGATCAGGAAGGAGCTCACGCCGTAAAAGCCGGCGGCCAGTAGCTTCAGGAACACCGTCAGCGTTTCGGCCGACGCCATCCCCAGCTCCTCCTCATGTCTGTGTGTGGAGGATTTCGCGGGGGCTTCTCCTTTAACCCGGGCATGCTGACGTCTATGAACTTCCGCCATGGCGGCGGCGGCGGGCGGGCCTGGCGGTGGGGCTGAGCGGCGCGGGGGGCCTGCTTCCAGGGGACTCGCGGGGCCCTGGCCGGTAGACTGTGCCGGCTGCGCCCTCGCCGCCTCGGCTCCCTGAACCGTCGCCGCCCGTCCCCGCCCAGGGGCAGGAACGCCGGGTTTTACACCCTTGGGGACTTTGCTCGGGCATTATGCAACGCAAGGTCAGAGGGTAGGGGCCGCGCCGGGACTGGCCTAGGCATGGGTTGGAGAGGGCCTGGAGAAGGGGCAGCGGTGACCCTGAGTTCGGGCGCAGAGGGAGAACAGGCCAAGGGGGAAACCACTCGGGGACACCGGAGCGCCAGGCGCCAAAGCACAGCCACAGACCGCCACCACCGTCTCGCGCCTGCGCGCGAGTCTGCGCGGGGTCTCTGCGCCAGCGTATCTAAAGCCGGGGAGGCTGGCGGCCCGGGGCCCAGGAGCCGTATTCTCCAGATAACAACCGCAACAAAAGTACAGACCATCCTCCCCTCGGTAACAGGTGGCCGGCTAAGTAGTTCTCTGTGGTGGGAGCGTCTAGACTCCCTTTGAATGCTCTTTTGGTCTCTCTTTCAGAAGGTCAAAGTACTTCAAAAGTATCATGCGGGGATAAAAGGAAACACTCAACAAACATTTCATTCTGCATTCCCTCAGGCTTCTTATATTTTTTGAACCCAGAAAACACCAAACAATACCTTCTTTGCAGATCAAGGGAAAACTTGCTTAAGAAAAATGTAGACACATCTAAAAAAAGTAGTAGGATAATCAAGCAACTTGGGGATTGGTGACAGAGCAAGGGCTTGGGAGCCGAGTTCCGATTCTAGGATCCTAGAAATGCCCCCTCACTAACCGCGTGCTGTTGGATCAATTAGTTGACCTCTCTGGGCCAACATCTCTTTATCTCTATGGATGTAAAACTAGCGCACAGCTAGTTTTCAGTAAGTGGCAGCCATTATTACATAACAGAAACAAATCATTATTATCAGCTTGAGGAAAGAAATGACGTACCTAATTTTAATGTCAAAAAAGAAAAAAGAATTGAATTTGAATTATTTTGTCTATCGTTTTTATTTCTTTTATCCCATATTTTGTAATTGTGGTAAAGTGTACATAACATAAAATTTGCCATTTCAACCTTTTTTTATTATGGTAAAATATGCTTAGTATAAAGTTTATCATTTTACCACTAAGTGTACAATTCAGCGGCATTGAGTACATTCATGGTTGTGCAACTCACCACTACCCATCTCCAGAACGTTTGCATCATCTCTAACTGAAATTATGTAACCACTAAACAGTTATTCCCATTCCTCCTCGCCCCAAAATCTAGTAACCCTATTCTTTCTGTCTCTATGAATTTGATTATTCTGGGTACCTCATGTAAGTGGAATCATACGGTATTTGTCCTTTTGTGTCTGACATTTCACTTAGCCTAATGCTTTTAAGGTTCATCCGCTTTTAGGATATGTCAGAATTTCCTTCCTTCTTAAGGCTAGATAATACTCCATTCTGTGTATATCTTTTGATCCTTGTATTTTGAGTTTTTCCGCGAACACCTTTGTTCTTTGAATATTCCTTAGGAAACACTGGTACACGGAATGAAGTTCTTAACGTGGCCCACAAGAACTTAGGGGATGTTCCTTCTGCCCACATCTCCAGAGGCGCTCCTCACATTTCCTTCCATAACCTGCAACTAAATTAAGCTATGCCCAGTCCCGTGAAGAACAATGTGGGTTCCTGCCTCTATGTCTTTACTCCCATTTTTCCCTCCTTCTGGGATGCTTTTTCTCTCCCTCCTCTCCCCTGTTTCCTGAAGAACTCTTACTTTTCTTTTGTTATTTAGGCAAAGCATTACCTCCTCTTTGGGTACCTTCTTTCACACTGCCCCTCCATGCCTTCCACAGAATTGGTATCTCTCCTTTGTGCCCCTCCCACCCCATCCTTGTACATCCCCATTATAGAAGTTCTGGGATTACATGTTTATATGTCAGTCTGTTCCAGTAGACAGTGAGCTCCCTAAGGACAAGGACAGTCAGGGACACCTAGCACAGTTTAAATGTTTTGCTGAATGAATAACTTTTTAACAATGAGGAAAAATGGGCAGGTGTCTTCCTTAATTGCAAGCAGCAGAAGAAAAATAACTAGAAAGTTATATTTTGGGAAACAGCCATCAAAAAATTACTATAAAAAAATATCCCTCATAACAAAAGCAAACAAGCAAAATAAACTTGTATCATATAAAAAGTATCTTCCCCTCTTCCTCTTCTACCAACTCTTTAAAGAAAGCAACTGCTAACAGTTTAGAGGTTGTATTTAGTGCCATGTTCCATACACATATGAATACATATGTATGTACATATCCATATACATACACATGTATACTTACACACATGGATTTTTAAGCATTTTTTAACATGCATGGAATAGAACCAGGTAAGAACACTGAGCCTCAAGCCAGACACTGCCTCTGACACTAATTTTGTGACCTTGGGCAAGTTACTTGACAATACTGTGCCTCAGTTTCCTTATCCATAGGATGAGGATTTCAATAACACCCACTTCATAGGGTTGTGGTGAGAATTGAATGAGTTAATAAAGGTAAAATACTTAGAACATAGTACATACCTCACAAGTGTTTATAATAATAATAATTACAATTATCATTATTTTTATGCAAACTGTTTTCACTTAATATTCTTCTAAAGATCTTTCTGTGGCAGTAAAGAAATTCTACCTCATTCTTTTTAACAGCTGCCGAAAATTCCATTAGCTAGATGCATCATAATTCATGTAACCTTTCCCATGGACATTTAGGTTGTTGCCAGGTTTTTGGTTTATAAACAATGAAGCTTTGATTATCCTTGTCCATTCAACTTTGTAGAGGTATAAGTTTCTAGAGGTGGAATTGTTTAATTAAAGGCTTTTTTAAAAATTAATAGCATTAACAAATTTATCTCCAAAGAGATTGTACCAATTTTGTATTCCCACTAACACTGTATAAAAATGAAACCCTCTTTTATAAAGTCAGATGGCAGCAATGGAGACCACTGAAAGGGGCCACGTGGTTCAAGTGCCTCCCAGTAGAGGGATGAAATGCCAGGTACACATTTCTGCAATAAATCAATTGCAATTACACAAAATTAAATGACAATTAATCTCCTAAAAGTATTAATCCAAGAAGCTACTGTTGTTTTTCTCAGCATAATTATGTTATTTATTAATAAATATTTGTTAAGAACTACCATACACAGGCCAAGAACTATATTAGATTTTCTCAATACCAGGAATGCTTTATGCCCTCAGTAAAATGCTGTGAAGTCTAATGGAGTCAAGCATTTGTATCAGGTACCCATTGAGATAGGTGCTCATGCTCTAGTTGTTTTTTTTTTTCCTTTTTATAGGTATTTAGACTTTTTGGTACTTTTAGGTATTTCAGGTGCTCAGACCTGTTTCCTAACCTCAGTAATATTAATCACAGAACTATATCTGGGAGACTTACATGTTATTTATAAAAATGAATAAAGGTAGAAACATCTAAAATTGTGCAAGATTGGAAAAACAATTTAAATGTTCTCATTGGTATACAAGTCTACTCTATTTGGAAATGTCAACATTGCAGCTTGACACATTTTATATTTTGCTGGGTGGAATTACTGGCAGAAAAAATCTTTTTTGTAATTAAATCATGTCTTTTTATCAAAACCTTGCTTTAGCCATCATGTTTCTCCACAAGGGAAAATTAATTCTGTATACTATTTATTAAATTATTTCATGTTATTTCTTTTCCCTGAACTTCTCCCTTTCCCTTAGCTCACTTGCTCTTCTTTTTTAAAGATTTTATTTATTTATTTATTTATTTATTTATTTGAGAGCAAGCGAGAGAGAAACAGCATGAGAGGGGAGAGGGTCAGAGGGAGAAGCAGGCTCCCCGCTAAGCTGGGAGCCCGATTCGGGGTTCCATGCAGAGTTCGATCCCAGGACTCCGGGATCATGACCTGAGCCGAAGGCAGTCACTTAACAAACTGAGCTACCCAGGCGCCCTCACTTGCTCTTCTTATAGTGGAATTTATATAGGCTTTTTTGGTGTCTACCTCCATCTATCAATTTCTTATTTCACTGCCTGCCTAGATCATCCTAGTGACCTGCCATGTTGCACCACTGATTATTTTACAGCCACGGAGCAAAGGTCATGTGTGTTTCCTATTTGAATGATGCGCTGAAAATTCCGAGAACCAAAAAGCATGGAAGGAGCATGGAGCTTCTCTGCAATGCCTTATACTTCTCTATGTTGGACTGGAAGGAATGAACTTATTGATTACTGATGGTGAGCCTGGCCATGTGCTATTGTAATTTATTATTTTATTTCATCATTACCACTCTAGGAAGTAGGTATGGTAAAACAACTTACAAACAGGAAAACAAAGGCCAAGAGGGAGTCTTAGGCATGCCCTGAGTCCTACAGTTCTAAGTGACTGTACACAGATTTGGCCCCAGTATATTGAGCATTTAGTCTGTGCTCCTAAACGACACAGTCCTGTCTCATTTGGGGTAGGTGAACAAACTTGCTTTTATAAGAAGTCTGGCAATACTATTTCCTCCTTCAATTACCAAGTTTAGTGTTTATCAACTGTATGAAGAAGAACAACTAGGATAAAGAAATGAAAAATTATTGAAGTCATAGTCAATCATGACCCATTCACAAATACCAGTCATCAAATTAGGCATTGAAAATACAAAGACATTTCAAACTCCATGTGTTTACAACTGAACTCCATACAAATCCATCATAAATCGGCTGCTTTGAGATCCTCCTATCTCAGCAAACTTGGCCTTACTATCCACTGATTGACCGTGGTTCTAACCCTCTCTATAACCACCCCCCATCGCTCTTCAACCCACCCCAAACTACTTTTATTATCTCCCCACATGAGTGTTAATTGGCTTCAGTAAAAATACTACATGTAGAACATTAACTACAACTGAAATCACCTCCTGATTAAGCTTATGATTATCCTCAGATATTTGTCAAGATCTTCCTTCTGCATTGGACAAACAGGCCACTTAAGTGAGAATGTGATAGGTATCACCACTCATGCATCTTTCCAAGTCTTGGTGATGGACACTAATCTCTGCAAGTTCCCTGAAGATATGCCATTCATTTTGGTTACTCTCCTGGTAGGATAGAAAGGTTCCAGAAGCTTCCTTCTTTCTACTGTTATGGTTCTTATTCCATGGGTCAAAGAGCCAATGTAAGGATTTTGCCAGTTGCCAAGTATATCTATTATGTCTAAACGTGTATCTCTTCTAATTATGCATTCAAGAACCGGATAAATAACCAAA